TTTGTAAATTTTTGTTAAAACTTCTATTGATTTGTTTTATCTTTCCATGGAACGATTATTAGTATGACATTAAATTTATGCAATGGATTCTATTTTTTCTCTATGATATTTTATTTTCTATAATGAAACATTAAATAAAAATTTAATTTGAAAATAAGTAAATCTATAAATAATATTTTTTCTAAACATTTAAAATTATGATACGCAAAAATGTGTATCGTCTTCATTTATGACATGGCCTTTCTTGACGGGGGCTTTCTTGATACGCATTGCGTGTCATTAACACGCGCGTCGTAAGGTTATGACATGCCAATGCGTATCGTCTTCCTTTATGACAGGGCCTTCCTTGATACGCATTGCGTGTCGTAAATGCGTGTCGTAAATGCGCGTCGTAAATGAGCGTCGTAAATGCGCGTCGTCTCTCTTTATGACAGGGCCTTCCTTGACGCGCATTTGCGCGTCGTCTGTGCCTTTTACGACGCGCAATGAGCGTCGTAAAAGGCTGTTTTTCTAGTAGTGACCCACAGAATTCCTTCGGTTACCTCTTCTACAGACCCAGTGAGAATGTGGTCTTTGTAGCACGAAAGAGGATCTTTCGCGAGAAAGAATTTATAAGCCAAGGAGATAGTGGGAGGCAGATTGATCTTGAAGAAATTCAAGAATCAATTGGTGAAGGAACCTCAGACACTAGCAATCAACCTGAGGAGGAAACTCCTGTTGATCCAGCTGACGAGTCTATACCTCCGAGGCGTTCCACACGGGTTAGGAACACACCTTCGTTTAATTATGGTTTTCATATTACTACGGAAGGTGATACGTTTATCAGTGATAGTACACTGGTAAATTTGGATGAACCTAGCAGTGCTAAGGAAGCCATGGCAGGCCCGGAGTCTGCTAAATGGAAGGAGGCTATGGACAGCGAGATACAGTCCATGTATGACAATCAAGTTTGGAACTTGGTTGACAATGTACCAGGCTGTAAAACAGTCGGGTGCAAATGGATCTTCAAGAAGAAGACAAACATGGAAGGAAAAGTGCATACTTATAAGGCTCGAATGGTTGCGAAGGGTTTTACTCAAACTCAAGGTATTGATTATGATGAAACCTTCTCGCCGGTAGCAAAGATTAAGTCTATTAGGGTTATGTTAGCCATTGCAGCATTTCATGATTATGAAATATGGCAAATGGATGTCAAAACCGCTTTCCTTAACGGAAAGTTGGCTGAGGATGTGTACATGAATCAGCCAGAGGGTTTTGTCAGTGCAGAGTACCCTAATAGAGTATGCAAGCTTGAGAAATCCATTTATGGATTAAAACAAGCATCTCGTAGCTGGAATCTTTGTTTTGATGAGAAGGTAAAAGAGTTTGGCTTCTCGAGAAGCGAAGATGAGTCTTGCGTGTATGTCAGAGCTAGTGGGAGTATAGTTAGCTTCCTGGTACTATATGTGGATGACATACTACTCATAGGAAATGACATCCCAACCTTGCAGGAGGTTAAGTCCTGGCTTGGGAAGTGCTTTGCTATGAAGGACCTAGGGGAGGCTACCTATATCCTAGGGATAAGGATATTAAGAGAAAGGAGTAGAAGACTAATTAGACTTAGTCAGAGTATCTACTTGGATAAGGTGTTGAAAAGGTTCAACATGGAGAATTCCAAGAAAGGAGAATTACGGATCCAAAGCAATACCAAACTGAGTAAGACTCAGAGTCCGAGTACAGAGGCAGAGATAGCTGAGATGAGCCAATTACCGTATGCTTCTGCAATTGGCTCAATCATGTATGCTATGACTTGTACCCGTCCTGATGTGGCATTTGCTTTGAGCATGGTCAGCAGGTATCAGGGGAACCCTGGCAAGGCACATTGGACAGCGGTAAAGAACATTCTTAAGTACCTGCGGAGGACTAAGGACTGGATCCTTACCCTTGGTGGCAGTGATGACTTGAGAGTATTAGGGTATAGTGATGCTAGTTTTCAGACTGATAGGGATAATTTCCGCTCTCAGTCAGGCTGGATCTTTACCTTAAATGGAGGGGCAATCTTGTTGGGCTTAGAAGATTGCGTCTTTTGGGCTCGTTTGTTTTTACATCTTTGTATTACGGTTTGGGCCTGTCCAACCGTATGTCTTTTATGCTTTGTATATAAGCTTATGCTTGCATGCATATTAGGTTAAGGTTTTAGAGATCTGAAAATAGCGATACATCTAGACGACAACAGGTTTCTTTGATCGTTCTAGTAACCTTCCAATCCTCTACAGTTGATGTTCTTAATCGAGCTCTTCTGAGGATTTTGTTTAATCATTCGACACGTTTGATTCAATCTTGTCTTGTTCTTTTATTATGTTCATATCGTCATTGTTTAGTTACTTGTTCAAGATCTAATCGATCTTTATAGATTAAAGGTTTGTTTAATCTCAACAATTGGTATCAGAGCAGGAGGCTGTGTAATTGATACACATCTTTTCTGTGAAAAAGATTTTCATTAGGGTTTTTCCGCAATCATTAATATTTATTGAGCCGTCATCTTTATTGACGTATCTTGATATTTATTATTTTGCCCTAATCCGCTTTATTACAAGTCTGATCTTTGAACAGGTTTTTACGATCATAATGGACGCGACACAATCAAACGTTATCAATATTTCAAACAGCATTGGTTCGACGACAAGGATTCCGATCTTATACACCAACGATTATGAAGTATGGGCACATCATTTCGAAGACTACGTTATTGGGTCGGAGGAAAATGGGTATTTGATTTGGGAAGCCATCACCAACGGACCGTTTTCTCATTCTGCAACGTCCAGAGTCATTAAAACTCAAAAAGAATACAATGATCTGCTTAAGGACGTGAAAGACATTGCACAAGATGAAAAAGACAAGTTCCAATGCAATATCAAAGCACTAAGATTGATCCGGTTTGCCCTTCAGTCCGATACATTCAGATTGGTTAGCTCTTGCACGACGGCGAAGGATGTATGGGACAGACTTCGTGAATTGTATTCTACAGACGAAGATCTCGAACATTCTATTCAAACTCTGCTTCTATCTGAGTTTGGTGAATTTAGACAAGGGGCTGAAGAATCTGTAACCCAGACATTCGATCGCTTCAATCATCTTCTCAGCAAGATGATCAAACATGATATCGAAAGGAAGCTCATCGAACAGAAAGTTACATTCCTGAATGGTCTAAGGTCTGAGTGGAGAGCAGTAGTTTCCACAGTTAAAGCCCATGAGCAATTTAAATCATACTCTTTGGCGAAACTGGTGGGAATTCTCAAGTCTCAAGAGAAAAACGTGGTGCAAGAAAAGAATGTCGTTTCTGGTCTCGGTTCGTTGGCTCTCTTGTCAAAAAGTAAAGCCGTTATGGAGGATGAAGACCTCAGCCTGGAAGAATATGATCTCACATCAGAAGATTATGCCTTGATGGTATCCAATCCCAAAAGGTTCATAAAGAAGAAATTTCCCAGCAACAAAAACCGAAACTGGCAGGGAAGTTACAGCTCAGAAAAGGTGGTTAATGAACCGAAAGTTGAGGAGCACAAGAAGGAACCAAAGGTTGACGGCGACTCTGTAGTGAGCTGCTTTTACTGTGGTGGGAAAAACCATTATGCTAAGGACTGTGTCCTCAAGAAAATGGCTGAGAAAGATGATGGAAACAATGAGGAAGCTGTGTTGCAGAAAAGGCTAGATGAGTTGAGAAAGAAGAAGTCTGCTGCTAACCCGCCTTGTAATGCCCTTATTGTGCAGGGTTCTGTTCCAGGTGATGAGTTCGGTAGCACGGAAGTTTGGTCTACTGACTCAGAAGACGAGGAAGTGAGGCAGCCTACTCATGGAAAGGCGTTCGTGTCTAAGGAAGAAGGCAGTGGTGGTAAATGCCTTATGGTTTCTGACGTATCTCAATTGAGGGGATACAACACCGATGGAGGCAATGATGGACAGAATGCAAAAGAGGATATGTGCTTCACAGCCAAACCACTCAGCCAGCAGTTCAATGAGCTTGATGAACTGATAAAGAAGGTACAATCTGTTTTTGTTTCATGTAAAATACCATCATCCTCTTATGAGAAAGAACTAAAAGTGTTAATACAAGAATATCTCATCTAGATAGTAGCTTAACTCAAACTCGGGTCACAAATTCTAACCTAACTGATCAATTGAGCAGGGCAGCGTCGAAGAGTGAGGAGCGGAGAATGTGGATAGAGTTAAAGGAATCGGAATTAGTCAGAGTTAAAGATGAAAACATTTATTTGCAAAGAGACAATTTGAAATTGTTAAAACAACGAAATGTTTTTTGTTTAATTGCTAAACGTCTGTATTCTAATATTACTCAGCTCCACTTGGATTGTGAAATAGGCCAAAGAATTCACCGCATGATTTTGCCCTTCCTGGAATTTAAGGAAGATGAAATCGATGCCGAAGCTTATAACTGTGAAAGTGTGATATCATCTGATAACATAAATCCCACCTACATGTATGGACTGGACAAAATTGAGTCCTTCATTAAATCTAAAGACCACAAGCTCATGCTTAAAAATCTTTTGGATGAAAATGACAGACTTAAACTGAGGACCGAAACCATGCAAAAATTTGACTCTTTAAACACCAAAGTAAGCTCAGAAAACAAAATTGATGTTGAAAATGCATCTGAGCTTGATGAGGATGACAATATGAGTGAAATTTCTGTAGAGGACACGGTTGACTGCTCAGAATTTATTAAAACCGAGCCAGAAAATCACAAGAATCTTATTTCTGAAAATTCGGTAGAGTTCGCTCGGTTGTCCCATCAAAAATCCCCAAAATTAGTTGAGAAAGCTGTTGTGTATCAAAAGGTCAGGACTACTCCAAATCAAGTATACAAGGTAACAGGAGTAACTGAACATCAAACAGCCGAACTTGCAGCCATTGTAGACAAAGACAATGCTGATGGCTGTGATGAATACTTCTGGGAAGCTCCTATTGATAATGCAGACGAAACCATTGGTTTATCTGAACGAACTTCATGGAAGAGCAAAGGAAGATATATACCCGAACCTTTGAATAAGCCAAACAACTTCAGTGAGCCGAGCACTAGTGGTACAAAAGATACTCCTCAGAAGGATGTTCACTCACCAACAGAAACCATTCCTTCGGCTTCTTCAGCTCAAAGTAATTCCACCGCAGTTCAAATGGAACCAATCAAGGGGTCAGCAAAAACAAAAGCAAATGTTCATCATCAACCATCTCAGATGCGGAACAGGAAGATAGAAAGGAACATCAGATACCGGAAGAACCTTTCGGAAAGGAAACAATTTTGGCGTTCCCAGAATGCATACTTCACTCATCAAACAAGAATCTAAAGTATGAAGACATTCCTGAAGAAAAGCTGAAAGTCCCAAAAACCGAAAGCCGAGGTTCGGTTCACAAAAGGACAACAACCGAAAGCAGAAGTTCGGTTCTGAAAAGGATATCAACCAGAACCAAAGGTTCTGTTCCAAAAGTGGCTCGAACCAAACACAAAGGTTCGGTTCTGAAGACAAAAGAGTTCAAAACTCTAAGGTCGGTCCTCCAATGATCAAAAACAAAAGGGTCACCTAAAGTCTCCTTCTAAGTCTGATTCTTTTCATTCTTCCAATTCTTCTTCATCCTCAGTTTCATATCAATCTCGTTCTAAATCTCATTCATCAACTGAGCAAAAGTGGAAGCAGAAAGTCGATAAATCCACATCAAAGACCGAATCTAACTCTACTAATCTTAACAAAATAAAAGTGTACACCATTAAAAGGAAAGATAAAACAACTCTCGTAAAAAGAACTTATCTTGTTGATATCTCTCTCATTGCTCCTGTTTCCATGCAAAGCTCACGTGGACCCAAGAAACTTTGGGTTCCTAAATCTCTCTAAATTTTGCAGGTTATAAGTGACGAGCAGTTTGATGAAGAATGGTACATTGATAGTGGCTGCTCACGTCACATGACAGGGGAGGAAAGAAGAGCTTAGGGAGTACAGATCGCTTGCAAATGGTGGCAATGTCAAGTTCGGAAACAATTCTTTCGGCACCATAAAGGGATACGGGATGATAACCAATGGGGATTTCTCTATAAGGAAGGTGGCTTATGTGGAAGGACTCCAATACAACCTCATTAGTGTATCTCAACTGGTTGGAGGTACAGGTCTCAAAGTCTCATTCGATGATGAAGGTTCAGAAATTATAGAGAAAAAGTCAAATAAAATAATTCTCAAGTCAGAGCGAATGGGTGAAATGTTTCCCTTAAACATGAAACCCATCAAAGGAAACCCAGCTGTATGCTTATTGTCAAAAGCGCAATCCGATGAAAGCTGGTTGTGGCACCGAAGATTATCTCATCTTAACTTCAAAGATATCAATCGTCTTGTTACAGGAGGTCATGTAAGGGGCCTTCCATTACTCAAGTTCGACAGGGATCATCTATGTGCTGCATGCGAAATGGGAAAGCAGAGTCGTCAAAGTCATCCATCTATTATCAACACAAAAGTTGTTGAACCACTCGAATTAATTCATATTGATTTGTGTGGTCCTTCATCTATCGAAAGCATCGGTGGTAGCAAGTACATTCTTGTTATCGTTGATGACTTTTCTCGATTTACATGGGTGTTCTTTCTAAAGCTCAAATCTGAAGCGACTCAAAAGCTGAAAACGTTTATTACGCAAATTGAAGTACAACTCAAAAAGGTTGTTCGCAACATCCGAAGCGACAATGGTCTCGAATTCAAGAACAGGGAGTTTGAAGAGTTTCTTGCAGAGAAGGGAATTAGTCATAAT